CATATACCAGGGGTGGTGGGTTCAAACCTGACCTGGTCAAACTGCAACAAAAAAAAGTAGCCGGGCGTTGTGGCGGGCGCCTGTAGTCCCAGCTGCTCGGGAGGCTGAGGCAAGAAAATTGCTTAATCCCAGGAGTTGGGAGGTTGCTGTGAGCTGTGTAAAGCCATTGAGCAAGAGTTTGACCTCCTCTATCCACCTTTGGATGCCCTTTATATCCTTCTCTTGCCTGATTCCATTGGCTAGAACTTCTAGCACTACGTTGAATAATAGTGGCAATAGTGGGGATCCTTGTGTGGTTCCAGTTCTAAGTGGAAAAGCTTTCAGTTTTACTCCATTCAGTATGATTTTAGCTATGGATTTGTCATAGATGGCTTCAAGCAGCTTAAGAAATGTGCCACCTGTGCCTATTTTCTTAAGTGTTATTGTTTGAAAAGGATGCTGAATTTTATCAAATGCTTTTTCTGCATCTATTGAGAGGATCATATGGTCTTCGTTTTTGCTTCTAGTGATGTAGTGAATTACATTTATTGATTTATGTATGTTAAACTAGCCTTGTATCCCTGGGATAAAGCCTACTTGATCATGATATATAATTTTTTTAATGTGTAGCTATAATCTGTTAGCTAAGATTTTGTTGAGTATTTTTGTATCGATATTTGTTAGTGAAATTGGTCTGTAGTTCTCCTTTTTAATTGGATCCAAAACAAACTGGGTATGAGTTTACTCTTTACTGGGTATGAGTAGCTGGACCACATGGCCCTGACCAATCAGCCTGGATTTCACATTCTCTGCTAAGGAGGGAAGCTTGGCAGAGAAGAGGGACTTTAAACTCAAACATGGGGAAAAGAGTCTTTCCTTGCTTTCTCATGCATAGCTAAAACAGATCAGAACTTTTAAAATAGGGCATTAAAGCAGGAATACCATAAAGCCAGGTAATTTATATTCTGAATGTTGCTTACTTTCTTTGGCCCATGGCGCCCTTCCTGAGACACCCTAAGAGGAGGGAAGAGACCTTGCCTGTGTTCTCAGAGTCTGCTCCTCAACCTGCCTTGTCATGGATACACCATTTTAATGTTCATAGTCAACAATGCAGTACACCCCCCTTGTCCTCAGGGGATACATATCAAGACCCATTGGATTCCTGAAACTGTGGGTAGTACGGAACCCTATATATACTATGTTTTTCCCTATACATATTACCCATAATAATGCTTAATTTATAAATTCAACCACAGTAAGAGATTAACAATTACACAATAAAATAGGACAGTTATACTGTAAGATAAGTTATATGAATGTAATATCTCTCTCTCTTCTCCCCGTCCCTCTTTCTTCCTATTCCTCTCTCTCTTAAAACATCTTACTATACTGTGCCATGGACAGCTGAAACCATGGAAAGGAAAACCTTAGATAAAGGGATCTCCTAAGTATATTGTACTCTCCTCAACAACCAGCATTCTTTTCTTTCTTTTTGAGGCAGAGTCTCACTATGTTGCCCTCAGTAGAGTGCCATGTTGTTATAGCTCACAGTAACTTCAAACTCCTAGGCTCAAGTAATTCTCTGGTCTCAGCCTCCCAAGTAGTTGGGAGTATAGGCACCTGCCACAATGCCTGGCTGTTTTTTAGAGATGGGGTCTCACTCATGCTCAGGATGGTCTTGAGCTCCTGAGTGCCTTGGCCTCCCAGAGTGTTAGGAATACAGGTGTGAGCCACCACACCCAGCTGACAACCAGCATTCTTAAAGTCCAAACCAAGAAATTCTGTATTCAACAAGAAATTCTGTATTCAACAATCTACCCTTGGAATTTCCATATAATGATACCCTACCCTGCCAAGGACTACATTAGATATTTTAAATACTTACCTCATTTAAATACCCTGTAAAGTTTATGTTATTGACCTCATTTTATAGAGGAGGAAACTAAGTTTCAAGAGGTTTAAAACATTTTTTTCAAGTGACTCATCTAACTGAATGATGAGACTGATCTAAAAACCTGATTCTCTGGGACTGTAAAGCCCACATTTTTCCAAAACTCTAGAATGCCTTTCAGTTATAGAGTGCTGTCCTATGACAGTTTAGGTTTTACTTTATTAAAGAAGACAGAATCTTATTCAGAGCCATAATCTTATAGCTCCTAGAAGCTTTTGTATTGAAACATCCTGTTCTGAACAGTGTTCAGTATCCAGTCTTTGTCAGCCACGTGAAGGGAGGAGAATATTGGAAACAGCCTGTTAATGCTGGGTGCATGTGGACAGCATTCATCCTCCTCCGAAATGGCCAGTCTGTTGCATATCAGCCTTCCTTGCCACTGTTTAAGTTTTGATTATCTTCCAGCTGTCTGAGGTGCCTCTGTGAGTATTTTTCAGCATGTCTCTCTACACACTGATGAAGTCACTAGCTGCCATTGCTCTTATTATCAGGGTAAATCAGACCGTATTGGATAGATGCTGCTGAAAAGAAAAGAAATCTCAAACTTTACCTGTTATTTAAGATTTCCTATGACACAGAAAATGTGGCATCTCCTTCACTCATTTAGGTGTTATGACCCAGAATCAAATTTTCCTTTGTTTTTTCAGAAAAGTAAAAAGAAAAAGAGGACTCACTCCTACCCCTATCCTGGATTTTTAATAACTTGGGTAGTGATGACTTCTCTTTTACCTTTGGGCTGCTCCATGGTGAGTCCCTGTGAGGAAATATGCTCATGCCCAAGGATGGTCCCTCTGCTGCTTTCTGTCCTCCAGTCATTGCTCATGGGTCAGGACACTCCTTCCCCTGAGCCAGATAGCGCCTCTGAGTTCTGGGCTCCAGGCTGCTGTTCACAGTCCCTGATGTTGGGTTGTTAGTTGAAGTCTGTTTGCCATTTCTAGATCTTTAGTATGGGGAAGAAGTGCAGGATATTTATAACTTCTTGCTTGGAAAAAAGGAGAATGGCTTCTTTCTTTGGATGTTACTATTTTTTAAAATGTTTATTTGAGTAAGGACTTTATACCATTTTTGTAAATTATGCTGTAATTTTATAGAGACTTAGAAATTATGGTAGGACTAGAATAATTAAATTTGTTATGAGCTTTACATATAACAGGCTAATCAAAATGTGTGATGTACAGTGGTGAATTGCTAATTTGACCTCAGGATTATGCAGCAGAGATAACATTATCTTCATTTATGTAGAACTTTTTATCTGGAGGCATCTCTCAGTGCTTTTCCAACCATATATATTATTTTGTTTATTATCACAAATACTGTCGTTAAGACTATAAAATGTATCCCAGTACAACTTTTTATTTTCAATTGCTTATGACTGAGGCATGAGGAAGGGAATGCTTGCATATTTTCTCCCATTCCTGATATTTCCACTGGGTAAAATTTGGGAAATGACTATTATCAAAACTTCAAAAGCCTGGTTCTATATAATGTTTAAAAAAGAAAAAAGGAGAAGAGGAATTTTACTGCATCCTCTTCGGTCAGCCTGGACCATATCAACCTTATGGACTGCCAGTGGGGAAAGGCCTGTTAATCTCTGTCATGCTCTTCTGTGCACTTTAGGAGAGTACCTCTCCTTCAGTAGAGCCTTGACCTAGAGAATAGGAAAATGGTCTGATCAAATTCCACTAAACCACATTCCCTCTTTCTCCTCCAAGGTTGCAGACAGCTGTACTTAGGCTGACACGGCCATGTGTGGTTGAAAATGCTATGCTGGTTGAGTTCCTGTGGGTTTAAAGATGTGGACAAAATTAGATTCAGGCCAAGGTGCCAAGTTTAACACACCCCTTCCCTTCCAGAAAGCTTCAGGGAGACTGTCACTGCCAACAGTAAAGGACAAATCAATCTGTACTGCCTGGACCATTAGAACTTAGTTTAAATGAACCTACCCACCCACCCACCCACCCAAACACAGTAAAACCTTCTGTCTGTCTTGAGGGATCAAAAGATTAGGGCCAACCTCCCACTTCACCAGAGGGCTCTGGTATATGTAGCAGTTGCCCTAATTCTCAACACAGGAAGAGGGATGTCTCCTTGCAGTGGGTGTGAGCACACTGAACAGCCAGTCCAGGAGATAGCATCAATATTGGTTATGAAGATGAGTGATCAGCTCATGTCAAGGAGCAGATGGCTAAATGAGGTACTCAGGGAATGCCATGAGATTCAGGCTTGAAGAAACAGGAGGGAAAATAGCCTGTGATATAAAAATCCCAAATATAGTTTCCTTAATGTGAATTTTCTAAATCGGCATTTACATTATACAGTTAACTTGGAGTGATGAGAAATGTAAGGAAATTACTGAATTAGTGAACAGCAATTAACTCAGAAGTAAAATTATACCATCTAAATTGAAGGTTGTTTTACATAGCAGAGGGGAGGATATTACTAAAACCTTGCCCAGGCTGTCATAGCCTAATTGAAATGTGTTCGTTTAATATACCCTATCCTTCAGAGTGCATAGTTCATAATTTGGAAGCACATTATCAGTTAATCTCGTTATTTTTCCTGGTTCTTCCTTTGAATTCTGTAAGATAGTGTGTGGCACATTCCCTGTGGAATTGTGTGATGCTCAGAAGAGTGAGTTGTTCATTAACCTGTGAACCGTCAGGTCTCGTTGGAGAGTGAAGAGAGCAAGTTGCTCCAAGGTTAATGCTTGTTTGTTGGAGATGAAGCCTCCAGGGAGATAAAAAGGGTGAACAGGCCACGATGCTCAAGGCCTGCCCTGTGAAACTCTGCAGTGTGTGGAGATGCCAGATTCATGTGGCCAGGAGGGAGGCTGCAGAGCAGGCTGGGCCCTCTCTGCAGATCACGTCCTCTGGTCAGGAGAAGACTTCCTAGCAGTCAAGTGGGGGCCTTGGCGTAAGTATATCAGGTATATAATAAGGAGGATTAAATCCTAAGAAGGATTTAGGAGCAATATTAAAATAAGAAAATGTGAATAGTTTTCAGTAGTTTCTGTGGATTTTTCCTCTTAAAAAAGAAAGCAATATTGATTTCATGCATTTGTCTGCGATAGATGAGGTCTTCCGCTGAGTTGGAAAGCATCCGATTTGGGGTGTATTTGTGCACATGCACAGGCACATCCCTAACCATAAAGTGAGGGTAGAAGCTATTTGTTCCTCTCCAGGGTAAATGTCATAAGGACGTAAAATCGTACTGGCATTCAAGGGTTGAAGTGAACAGAACCTGGTTTGATTTTCTAAGTAAACCAAATCAAAGTTTTACTTTATTTTCTATAAAGTGATATATTCCTAATTTTGCTGTAATTCTTCTAGGCTCAGGTGGAGCTAACCCTAAGGGGTAGGTACAGGGTCTGAAGTTAAGTTCAGTTTCCTTTAGTCCATATCCTCATACACTGTATGTTTAAATGAATCTCATTTTGCTATCCTTGGATTGGTTGTAATGGAGGCTCATTTTCAATAGATTTCTTTTTACTCTCAGGTATATTCGAATCGTTGGGACTCACAACACAGTGAACAAGATTTTTCACATTGTGGCTTTTGAATGTATGTTTACAAACAAAGCCTTCACTATTGAGAAGGGACTGATAGGTAAGTATTCCAATTATATTTTTGTATATATACTTAGATATTCTATCTTCAGATATTTTGTTTTTTGTTTAACTCATCTTAATCAGCTCTAAGGACTCTGGTTGATTTGAATGCCTTATGCCTGAGTGACATAGGGTATGGTTTACATTTTTAGAAGTAGTCAAAATACTAATTCTAGTAAACCTGAAAAATGAATATAAATGTTATATTAATAGCTAAGAATTGAAAATATTTTAGTGATTCATTCAGATTTGATATGTAGGGGATGTTTATTGTAGGCAAAGCCTGTCTTAGTAAGAGTTTTCTATATTTAATGGTGGCTGAGTTCAGGGAGGAAGTCAATATAATATTGATTGGCTATTCATACTTCACAAACCATGCAGGTATTTTGGCCTTTGATTTGATATGAATGGTCTACTCAACTTGGGGAGTATCTTCTTTTCATGAATGTATGAATTCATAATTGCCGGGTTTAGCCAAGTTCACCTTTAGAAAGTGCTTGCAGATAATTTAAAGCAGAATGACTGAATTGTCATTGTACAAGTTAAGCTATTGGGTGTAAATACTGTCTGATTGATCTTTAGAAAGGGTATTTCTAATTTTGGTTTAGTTGCTGTTTGGTTGCTTTCTGTTGTATTTTGGTTTCATTTTAGGTAATGTTTAGTTTGGACATTGTGTACAGTCCTTCCCAGGTGTTGACATTCTGGGTATCCTGAGAGGCTTTTCCCATCCAGCCTTGTGATTCTTCTTCTCTTTTTCCCATGCCCATGGGTTTTTACTCACTTGCCATAAATATCATAGACTAATTAGATCCTTGAATGTGTACCATTACTGCAGTAAGTGTGGGGGATGAGATGTCCCTGCCTTGTGTTACCTCAAATAGAATTCTGTGCCTTCACAAAGGATCTGGTGTTTCTTCTCCTTCTCAGGTTCTGCCCGTATTGAGACACACATATTAACACGTGTCCTAAAAACATAGATTACTATACTGGGAAAGATGAATGTAACTCACAAATTTTACTAATTCTTTGAAAAACCATAGCCTAAATGTTTCTAACTCCTGCTGTGTATGAAACATAATCCTTTATTTAGGTAAATTTAATTTAGTAGCAGGAATAGAAAGTTTTCCAATAGTTGAACTTTTAGAGCTCAAATAAATGATTATTTTGGTCTTATTTTTGTTATAGATATAATTTTTTAATATTAAATGTAAAGGTTCATAATTTTTTGACTTTAAAATAATTAGAAAGTAAACATCTTTTGAAACATCACTTAATATTATGGTCTTTTAATTCTGCAGGCTATATGGAATTATGGTAATGGAGGGATCTGGAAAGTGGACTCTTTTTCACCAGCCACCCAGGTTCTTCTATAGACTGTGGGCCTCACTATGTAGTGTGTAGTTAAGAGAATCCTCAGTGAGAAGTCTTAGAAACCAAGACCCTTCATATTCGCAAGAGGGGTAGCATTTGGCTACTCATTTTAGCCTCATGCACTGCAATTTTAAACATGGTGCAGAAAAGATGCCATATACGTTTATCAGTTCCTCCTTCTTACTACAGGAAGAACAGGTTTGTGGACACTGCAATTACCAAAGAAACAGCTCTATCTGGTGTGAAAGGCTGTTATAAGAATGAAACTCAGGAATGGTCGTAGTGAGGGATGCTGTCGTTGGTCTGCATGTTTTGTCCAAACTGAGCTTGTCAGCATTAGCAGGAGCCATAATAGTCTCAGACATATCAGGAGACAAAAGAAGATTACAGAGACACAAGAAGTGGTTTTGGTGTCTAGTCAGACACTTTTCTTCAAGCCTTTTTCTATGATGCTCAGAAGTTTAACTGCACAGAGCATGGCAATCATCTGCCTGTCATTGCCCCTCAACCAAATGGGAGCAGTGGTAACAGTAGGCAGATATGTGCATGCACTTGCCAGCAGGTAGTCTGCAGAGGGATCTCTCCTGGCCCTCCTTAGGACCCTCCTTACAGCTTAAAGTCCCCCTATGCTGGGCAGTGGGATGAGTGATAAGAGAATTCAAGGGGATCTCATTATCTTCTTTTTGACATTGTGGTTCTACTTAGCTTACAGAGCTCTTTAGAATAGTAATGGCTAGCTTTCCATGATGGTTATCTCAGGACTACACAGGCCTTGGCCAGCCACTCTACAGGGACCTCTCAGAAAAGAGTGGTCCTCTGTAGGCAGTCTCTGAGTTACAAACATCCGACTGACGTACAGTTTGCACTTATGAGTTGAGGCTATCACAGGTAATAGATAGATGTATCCATTCCAACTTATATACAAATTCAACTTAAGAATCCACAAAACCTATCTCATTTGTACTCAGGGAGCTGTCTGTAGTGGAGGCACAGATGTGTCAGTATCATCTGGAGTTATTTTTAAATTGTGGATGTGTACTTCTTACTTCTACTTATGTCCTATGAAATGTGAACTCCTCTCTTGAGAACCATTGACATAAACTCCAGACTTTCATAGGAAAAAGAAAAGGAAAGCTAAAATAATCTCATCATAAATAGCTAGAGTCTCAAAGCCTACTTTTGTGTTTCTAGATTCATAACCTGTTTCATTCAGTTTTAGGTCTTCCTTTCACAGTTTAAATTCCTTTAATTAGTTATTTGTAGGCCCTAAAAATGACTTTTAAACTATTTGGGCTTTTTAAAAAATCAATTTTTAATATTACTATCTACAATAATATTAAACCTGAACACACCTAATCTCTTCTGATCTCAGAAACTAAGCAAGGTTGATTAGCATGTGGATGGGAGATTTTTAATGTCATTACTTAACATGAATAATCATGACAGGAAATAACATAAATACAAATAACCATGTTAGCAGTATGAAATTGTAGTCCTCTTTCACCATCAAAGGTTTTCTTTTTCATTTTTGACGACAGCATGTCACTCCTCATGCTGCTTCCCTTGCACAGATCCAAGGGGAAGCTCTGAAGTCCTCCAGGTTCATGTATCCATGAGAAGAGCCTCAGCTTGATCACACTGCCCAGAGCTGGGCCCTCTCCCACTTTTGCTGCTGCCACCATAGCACCTCCTCCTGTGTCTAGATCTTGCTGGGATGTATTCTCTGCTGGAAGAGTCAGCCCGTGAGGACTATCTCCTCTGTTAGGAGGCATTTGTAGGAAATCCTAACCTTTCTTACCAGTGAGGTGTGGAAGAAATAATTAAAAGAGACATGACCACTATTTTATAAATGTTCACTCTCCCAAAGAATGTGTTTGCTTTGCCCTGGCAGCCCAGTTTGTGATACGTACGTAGCATTTGCCAAGTCCTTCTACTTTTTCATGATTGCCAAATTTTTTCATTTAATTTTGTGGCATATCTACTAGTTATTGAAGTAGAGGGAATAGTTTCTATCACCCATCTTAAAGATCTAGCAATTCACAGCCAACCTGGTTTATCTGTATGTGATCTACGTCCTCTTTATCAGATTATTTTGAAGCCAGTCTCAGACATTTTATCATTTCATCCATAAACATTTCATTAAGTATTTTTAAAAATATGGCCTCATTTTTGTAGCCATAACCATAATACCATTATAATACTCTCGAATTGAACAGCAATTCCTTAAGGGTATTAAATAACCAGTCAGTGTTCAAATTTCCCTAATCGCTTCAAAGTAGTAAGAATATTTGTTTTATAGGTGGTTTAAATGCAGATAAGGTCCATATTATGCAAATAGCTATTATGTATGATTCTTAAACTTTAAATGTATAGTTTCCCTTTCTTTTACTTGTCTATCTCTGTCTGTCTTTCTTTTTCTTTATTTTTTTTCTCTTTCCAATTACAATTCATTTGTTGAAGAAAAAAGGTTTTTGTCCTATAGAGTTTCTGACAGCCTGGGTCTCGGTCATTGAATCCTCATGCTAATATTTAGCTTGTTTATTCATGTCATTTCTTGTATCTTGGTAGTTAGATAAAGGTTTAATCAAATTCAACTATTTCTTAATAATTATACTCCCTAGGTAGTATTATGAGTCAGTTATTAAGAAGCACAGAAAATCTCTGGTTGTCACTCTCTCTTAGATGTTCACATCCATTGATGATTATGTCTTAGATCCATTATTTTATAAATTTGGACTGCAAAATGGTTATGTTCTCATTCTGTCATTCCTTCTTCATTTAGTTGCTAGAAAGAGAAAATTTTCCTTAACACTCATTTGGCAATCCTGAGAGGTAATTTGTCCTGGAAAAGGATAATGTTTTCAGTTTTCAGAATAAAGAGGTGATTCCTAGCATCTTCCAGTAGTAATCAATCAGATTTATTTTTGGAGTTTTTTAGGGACAGGTGAGTACATTTTGAATTTATGAGATTAAAACATTTGACTTTTTTAATCATTTGTGCTTATTATTAGTGATATTCAAATTGTCCCACCTTTAGTGTCTTCAGATGGGCTCTCTAACCTTTTTGACGTGACTTCAGTAGTCTTCCCTAGTTCTTTGTTTTCTGGCATGACAAAATGTATCAGGTTCATCCTGTACATTTCCTGCCCTTGATCTGGAATCAGCCATTTCTTTAATAAGCCTTGATTCTGTTTAATGGGAAACAGTATAGATACTGTTTATAAACCTCAGCGTAGATACTAGAAATGATCCGTACTACTATGTTTGTTACTATTTCTAGGCTTTCAGTAGATAGAACTAGGAACAACATTTAAATATACTTATTTATTTTTTAATTGGTGGGACCACACCTACAGTGCATCTTACAAGAGTACATGTGAAATTTACTAAGTGTAGAATTAGTAATGATAATAATAAATGTCTTAACACAATAAGAAAATGCCGTGAAGGCTATGTTAACCAGTTTGATGAAAATATTTCAAATTGTATATAAAACCAGTACATTGTACCCCATGATTGCATTAATATACATAGCTATGATTTAATAAAAAATAAATAAATAAATTTGTTTATATGTTATACATATTGAACAGATAAAATATCTCATGAATATATGCTGATACAGCT